AAATAAAATTGAAATATAAATATTAGGAATTTCTGTCAGGTCAAGAATTCTTCACTGCTTCTGATAACATGTAAACCAAAAAAGATGAGCACCACCATTCGTAGCTGAGACCAAATATGGCTTCTCGACAATTTTAGCATCAACAAAGTATGCATTTTAAAAAACTTCTAGACTGAACTAAAATGTGTTTACAAGTCACAATGAACGGATGTCCCCACAAGTGGAATTCCTATATACGATCCATCGCTAAAGATGCAGATAAAATGATCGGCTTCTTCTATCGCTCCAGTAAGTACCTGACTCCTCATGCTATCCTCTACCTTTATAAGAGTCAGATCAGACTGAAAATGGAGTACTATTGCCATGTTTGAGCAGGAACTGCCCAGACCTCACTTTCCAGTCTTGATAGAGATCAAATGCATCTCCAAGTCCTTGTTGGAGAAGAATTATTTTCAACACTCCAACCTCTCTCTCTCACAGGTGGGATGTGGCAAGTCTCTCACTGCTCTATCGCTACTACCATGGAAAGTTCTCGAACTGCATCTCCCGTTTCCACCATGTTTGACCTTCAGAGCTAGGACCCGCCATGCCCTTTACATAGTAACAAACCACCCTCATTCCCTCTGTATTCCATCGGCGAGAAGTAAGTTCCACTCAAACAGCTTTTTCTTACGAACCACTGCCCTGTGGAACAGACACCCAGGAGGATGTTTCCCCGATCACTACAATCTTCACCTGTTCAAGTCTAGAGTCAACCATTATCATCCCTTCCTATACATATAAACTTCTTAACGTAACCCTCTACCTCAAGTTGCCCCGTACAAACACCATTATTTGCATTATTTACACCCAGACTAATGTCTACGTCTTTGTTGTTGTTATCACAACATTTCGGGACAATAGCCAGGCGCAGGAGTTTGAACCTGGGATAAATTCAATGTTTCAGCGGGAGGAGGAAAAATTCATTTACTTTTTTCAAGAGTTTCTCATTGATTGTAATCTTCCTCAGAATAAAATCAATTTAAATACTTTGACATTTTATTGAACATTTTGTTTACTGAAGTATGCCCCAGTTTATTATTTAATAATTTGTTATGAATTAAAACAAGTTAATGTACAATGTATTCAAGTTTAAAAATCCATCAACATATTCTATTGCTATTACCTTTGTAAAACTCCTCTACAAAAATAATCCACGTAAAGTTATATGCACTAATAGGGAAAAGGATGAAAATTTTCAATAATATCTGCATATTATTTGGAATGCACCTTTTGAGTCGGACAGTCGTGGAAAGTGGGAATATGACATTATAACATACGGTGAAACGGGGTCATTGTGCGAAAAAGGTTAAAAGCCACTAAATTTACTTTATTTTACCATATAAATCTATAAGCAGTTAAGTAATACTTTAGCAATTTAATCAACATGGCTGTTTGTCGGTGTTTATGAAGTAATAGCCCTGTGCGTTATTATTTGGGATGCACCTTTTGAGTCAGGCAATCTTTGCAATGGTAGGATTGATATTCTGATATATGATGAAAAGGGTGCATTGGCCGGGTGGATTAAAGCGTTGATTCATGAATTTGGTGCCATAGATATTGTAGGCCGGTTAGTACACACCCAGGATCAGTTTAAACAAGACAATAAGCAATAATGGAGTAGTGCTAAAAAGAAAGAAAAAAAGAAAGAAAGAAAGAAAGAAAGAAAAAGGACAGTGAAACAAGAACAATCTACTTCAAGATTAAATAAAATTAAGCGAAATTTTCTGATTTTACTCGTATCGGCTGGCACCTGAAGAAGTCTGGAGCGTTGCAATAATAGCAACAAAGATGAGAATATAAATGCGAATGCAAATAATACATTAATTTATTCAAAATATTGCCCTTCATGTATTCTTGGAGAAATTCTTGTTTGTTATTCGACTTGTAATATCGACGGAATAATAGCTTAATGAATATAAGGCTGGGTCGTGAGTTCAAATCATGGAAGAGGCAGAAGCAGTATTAGTGTAAATTAAATCAAATGTGCCATAACAATAATTCCTCCTCTTAGAATTTTCAATGGAAAGTGTTGAGCGTGGAAAATGGAGGACAGCCGGTCATGGCGGTTTAAAGAATTTCGAAAAATTTCGTTTAATACATCTTCGTGATCTAAGATCTAACATCAAGCCTCGATCAAACCTTCCGAAATACTCCACTCAAAATCCATTTATCAGCACTAAATGTGGCTTGATGTGTAAATCAGCACCTGGACTGAAATGCTGTTTAAGGTACAAACATTAAAAAATGAACTGAAAAGAGCCCATCATTATATATATATATATATATATAAAGAAAGAAAGAACAGTAAGATATATAATCCGGTGTTCTTATAGATATTTTTATTTTTACAAAATAGTGCTCAATGTAAATTTACAGAGCATTGATTTTAGCTGTGTCTTTAAAACCCAGTAATTTTAAAAGTTACTCCAAAATTCGCCTGAGGATGAAATGGAACTAATGTCTGTAATTTAATTACAAAATTAAATTCGGGGCATTTAGCTTCCATTTTTGAAACATGGTTAGAACTGTGTAGCGAAAAAAAAATATTTTAAATCAATTAATTTATAATATATATATATAACAAATCCATAAGTGGATAATCCAAATAGGTCTTTTTAATATAAAATATTAAAAATATAGATCCATGAAGAGAGCTCAATGTATTAAAATACAGAGCAATATGATAAACATCAAAAGGAAAGCTCAATAAAATGGTTTTAATCAATAAATTAGATGATTTAAACCATTTTATATATCCGGTCTGATGAGATATTTCAAATATCACCATGGTCTTTTAAAGTACTCGTTTTCTTGATTATTATTATTATATGTTCTGTGTTTGACATTGAGCTCTCTCTGGATTTATATCCATACGGATTAGCAAATTTTATCATTATATATATATATATATATATATATATATATATATATATATATATATATATGAAAAAAGAATTTACATAGAATAAATATTCATACATGTTTCATTAAATAATATAGACAAGTGTTGTCTATTTATTTTATATAAATTCTTTTCATAACGTCTGATATGCTGTCTAAATACATACACAATATATATATATATATATATATATATATATATATATATATATATATATATATATATAATTTCAGATAGAGTCTATCTGTAAAGGAACAAAATGAATAAAAAAACAATAGGAAAAACTATTCTTAGCTGACCCGTTTCGTCCTCTGATAGACTTTATCATTGCAAATGTAGGATTTATTTTGTTACACGTATTTATATACAAAAGCGAGGATGTCATTGATTTACCAAGGATTTCAATTCTCATAGTTCCATCCCAAACCAAAAACAATCTGACCACAATTTAAACAATATTTATTTATTAAAAACAAAAAAATCTTGAATATTACTAGCTTATTTTCATCTTACCAGTCCTTGAATTATGCCACTTTGTGTTTTCCTCGTGTTTTGACTGACCTTTCAACCACCTAATGAATATTCATGGGCTTTCCCGAATTTAAAAGCCTTGATAAACCAATGACACCCTTGCTCTTGTATATAAACAAATAGAGGTGCAGGTTCGTATCCTGCTGGATGGTGTATCTTTTTCTTTAATAAGATTTCTCGAATATTTAGGCCAGTAGACGAAAATAAGTAATAATACCGTTTAAAATAAACGGAGCGTCTACTCAAATATGGGTATCCACTAAAAATAAGTGATTATATCGATATACATGATGAAAATATAGTTTTAAGGTATGTTATATTTATGGGTAAAAGTGGCCAATGTCACGGATAGAGCGAATATGAATATAAAATATAAAAGTGGATACTGATGTCACCTAGCATCGGCAGTTTTTTTCATGACTGAACGCAATCTTCATGCCATTTTTTGTTCACTTCTATCCAATTTCATATTTCACATCCAAAATTATTACTTATATGAAGGAAGGAAATAAAAATGCCCCAAATAACTAATTCTGAAGGAAGTATAAAATAAACTGTCATAGTTGTTCTTTATAATATATTCGGGAAACTTGCAGAAATAAAAAAAAAAAATACGTATTTATGAACAGAGGAAGGATTTCCTACAAAATTTATTCAGTGCATTTGACTATGAATTTAAGCGCAGTACGAGATTGGCAGCTAGATCTCATCATTTTACTGTTGAATTGGCACGATGTAACTAAAAGTTCTTTGTTAATAGTTTCTTTTCTCGCACTTCTCACCTGTAGAGCTCTCTCCCGACTCCTTGCTTTCCAGCCAAATTTGATTTTCAAAAAGCTAAATTCAGTGTCAATCCTTATCTTCTGTCTTTTTTATTCCTTTTCGTTTATTATTCTCGCTCCTGAATAATGTTTTCTTTTCTTCTTTCAAACTCTGTAATCCATTTTGCCCTAGTGGCTTTATTGCCATGTTTGGGTGAACCGATTAAAAAGGAAATATATAACATTGTTTGAAATTCCTGATTTCGACATTAAATAAACCACCAGGGTTTGACATGTCGTAAAAACTCAAGCTCATTAATAATTAGCTAAGAGACTAATTTCAGGAAAATCGCTCGACTGCAGTTAATCAGCTAATTACACGGCTTAGCGAACAAAGGTTTACAGTCGTGGGATATTCACGCATAACATCTTTGTATGCATTTATTTTATTTTCTTCAATACATTTTTGTCGTATTCAGTGTATTTTAAAGTTCAAATTTGATACTAAGCAGAACAATAAATAAATGAACAGATAACCCAATGTAATGGCGAGTGCGTCAGGTTTTGTGGAATCAGATCCAGGTTGGTGTGGGTACGTCCAGCAGCGGTAGACTTTAATGACAACTTGAAGTTAGAATTAAAAAAAAATCATTCGTTTTATGCGTTTAAACTAGATCACAGAGGCTGATTTTCTAGGTTACCAAGAAGAAACGGGAAAGCCTCTGATTGGCTAGAAACTGGGATTGTATTTATTTGAGACTTACTGTCATATCACGTTGAAACACTGCTTTCCGTCCGATCACCGAAGTTAAACAACGTCGAGCCTGGTCAGTACTTAGATGGGGTAATCACTTGGGAATACCAGGTGCTGTAAGCTTGGATGTGCAGGTGGTGTAATGGATAACGGATGGCAATTGGAACTCAGAGTGCATAGTTCCAATTCCAGTCGTGTTCATTATATTTATTTACACGCAAATGCCCTTTGGAAAGGTATGAATCCACCTCTTCTCCCCCAGCTATGGGTTAAATAGTAGGACTTGTATCAATAAATGATTATTATCTCCAAAATAATCCTTACAATCCAAAAATATTTGCTGGCTTTAAATAATCCGAAAAAGCTGATAAACCGTAAACATACACATACACACGCACACACACAAACAAACAAACAAATCAATCAATGTATTTAATTGAATTTTTTTATTTATAGTTGTCTGGAGATGTGCGTCGATCTTTATCCGCAGAGACGAAATCGTATCAGTTTGACCTCTGGGTGTGAGGTTTTCAGATCAAACCTGCTGCCTCGGTATTACCGCCTTTTACTTTGTACCTGTATGTATGTAGCGGTAATTCACTAGACATTCATAACTTGTGGCAATCACACGCTAGCCTTTGATATTGAACTAGGCCCAAATTCCGGCTCTGGCCATCGTAAGCAAAGAAAACAGCCGTCAGATAGCACGATTTCAGCTGAAGGCAGATTAACAATCATCATCATCATCATCATCATCAACCCCATAACCTGATATGGTCGTGGGGTTGCTGCTCATCTGAGCACCTGACCATCTGAGCACCTGACATATCTTGGTTGAAAACCGAGGAGGTATTCATTCATTCATGTACAGTGCGTCTTCACTAAGTAGACATAGTGGAGTTCTTCTCTTTCCAGATCAAACCACTGCCGATGTCCGCCACCAACGAAGTCTCGCCATGGTCACGGACAGCGTGGAAACGCACCTACTTCAATATGCAAGATACACGTCGAGAACAAGTAATTGGCTGTATTTGAAAATTAAATATATATCAGTGGCGGGTATTGTAAAGAAGTTAGCTACAAAAATTAAAAACATTTATTTCTGATGTATGTGTAGGAGGGAGCGGGGAGATGTATAGACGAGCGTCTGTTGTAATTATGCACCGATTTTCCATTTTGTTATTCAATTTCCTAATATTTTTGTATACAAAAATTTATATATGATATTCTCCAATATTTAGTATGAAAATATCAAAAAGATTTTATTCTGCAATCGATTCTAATTATGGATGGAGCGCTCCGGCCCGAGCGACACTTATGGCAGCAGCACTTTTGGGTATGGTGTATAAGAATCTAGAGGCTGTATTGAAATTTAAAAAATGGTTTTAATATCGGGGCACTATTCACAGTTGGCCGAGTGGTTAGAACGTCCCTTTTCTGACAATGAGACCCGGGTTCGAATCTCATAATGTACGATTTGTCAGGAATGTTATCTACATCGGTGTGCGGGATCTTTGGAAAGTATCGAAAAACCATAACACGGTTTGATACCTTATGAGTAAAGTTGGGTAGACGTTCTAGCCTTGTTCAGACTGTTCATCAGGCCAGATAACGCGCTCTCTCCCAGAAACTGTAAATAAGGACCACTACAGGTGGGCTCTCTCTCTATATATATATATGTGTGTGTGTGTGTGTGTGTGTGCGCGCGCGCGCTCGCGCGTGTGCTGGTATGTAGAAAAATAAGAAAGAACACGTTAGGTAAATAATCCGGAGTTCTTTAGTATTTTTGTTTTTATTTTTAAAAAACAGTCCTCCATACAGAAGTAGAGCTTAAATTATAATTATTTTAAAAAAAAAAATGATTCCTTCGCTACATAAGAGTTCTCATGTTTCAAAAACGAGTGCCGAAACCCTCAATTAAAAAAATAATTATTTACATATATATATGTGTGTGTGTGTGTGTGCGTGTGTGTGTGTGTAATAAATTTTAAAAAGGGATAAATTCTGTCGAATAAAATATACCTTAAATTTATTATTCATGTTTTATATATTTTTTTTTTAAATATTTTTTTTCATATTTTTTAACTGAAAAATAACGTCAGTGATTGTCACGTGTGGAGAATATTATCATTATATCTGTGTTGATGTATTCAACCATTTTCTTTTGATTTTATGAATCTGTTGTGAATGTTTGTAAGAGCATTAATTTTGTTAAGAAAGGTGAAATAGAGAAAAGGCCTGGGCGTAGATTAATATTTGGGTAATTTTCTATGGCGGCACTCTCCAGAATTTTCCTTCTGAGTGAGTTATTTTCTTTTTTTATGAGTGTAATAACAATATTGATATATATATATATATATATATATATATATATATATATATATATATATGTATCAGTCTGTTCATATCTATCTATCTATCTATCTTAGTTTGGTCATTATCTATCTATCTATCTATCTATCTATCTATCTATCTATCTATCTATCTATCCAGCTGTGGATATGATGCAGTTAAAGGCCTCAAGAGACTCTCTGTCTAATAAAAAAAACTGTATGTTCATACGTGTGTTGTAGGTTCATGTTCACGTTGCGTTTGTATTCGAAAGAATAAGAAATGCACTATTGTGGTTATTTTAAAAGCTTATATTTGCGCACCGTTCTCTCTTTTTTGTTATACACAGTCTACGTGTATCTATCTATATGAGAATATGGCTTCCTCTAAAACAAATTGAAGAAACGACCAAGATCTACTGCCTCCTTTATTCGTAATTTGCCGACTTCACTTTCCTTTCTCTTCTTTCTTGTTTCCCTGCCAACGTTCGCTTTCCAACTCCCTTGGCTCGATCGGCAAAGAAGCGAGCAATGTCACATCTGATAAAGACCCGTGGTGGGTGACCGCGGCAGGAGCGGCAATGGAGGTGGCAGCACAGGCCTGGGGGACGGACGGACGAGGGTTAGGGCAACCGTGGCAAAGGAGGTGTGTAAATAAATAAACTGCATTTCAAAAATAATCTCTTTCAACGCCACTTCCAAATGCCTTCTCTTTCATCCACCACCCAACATCACTACATTTTCTAACCTTACTCCCACCTTTCATTCCGTGTCAGCTTCCTCCCTTCCTGTTTCGCTTCACATGCATGACTTTTGAAACAGAGATTAATAATAATAATAATAATAATAATGACCACTGTCGGGATCATAGTCTGTGCTAACTCTACAATCATTTTCTCAGACGCATACTATGTGCTTCACTAGGCCTATATGCAGTTTTCAAATTTAGAGTTGTCCTCCTACTGATTGCCAACCATACCTGAAGAGCTCAATCTGCTTCACAATTTAACCCACAACCAAGCAGAATCCCCAACAGGTTTTGAATTTGAAGTTGATCTTCTCCTATACTGCTTACCAACCATGCCTGAAGAGTCCACTCTGCCCAATCATAGCTGGGTGGAGAAGAGGTAGATTGATACTTTTCCCAAGTGTATTGGCGCGTGAATTTAACGAACTCGAGTGGAATTCGAACTGGGCTCTCCAATTTCTCAGTCCAAAATGCTGTCCATTACACCATCACCATGTCCAATAATAATAATAATAATAATAATAATAATAATAATAATAATATCTTAATCTTACCAGAGAGCTGAGAAAATTGAGAAATATTGTGATAGATGTGCCTGTCATTGTCGGGGCATTAGGAATGGCCAGAGGAACCAAAAATCAGGGTAAGAGTCGGAATAATTTGGATAACAACATTACAAAAACAAGCTGAAATACTATGAACCGGAATAATGAGATACTTTAATAAAATTGTTCGCCCAATACAAGGCCCAAGAACCACTCAAGGTAGAGTGTTAGTAAACTAAGTTGTTGCGCAAGGAGAGGGTAAGAGGTGTATATCATGAGTGGCTCGAAATGAGGAATCAGGGAGCCAAGTTTGAATTCCAGTCGTATCCATTACATTCATTCACTTAGCTGATAATAACCTTGGGAAAGATAGGAATCCTCTTCTTCTTCCCCCAGCTATGGGCAAATAGCAGAACAGACTGGGTTCTATAGTCTTGGATGTGAACTGGTCTACTGCAGAAAAAAATGGCAACCTACTGTGGGAAAATCTGCCTCGTCAGTCATGTATCGAAAGAAACATGATCGCCTAAGCATGTATCATGCATGGCACATAACTGATACAGTAGATAATGATTTAGTCTAGACTTGAAGAGGTTAAAACTGTAGTGTTATGGAAGCAAACCTTTTTTATCTTTTGCCTTCTGAAGGCTAACATAAAGGCAAATACAAAAGTCCTTTATTTTTTATTTTTTATACTATTGTTCATACAATTCAAGACCCAAGTGCCACTCAATGTAGAGGGTTACTGAATGAGGTTGGTGTTTAGGGCATAAAAGGAGGAATCAAGAAGTGCATACTGTGAAGAAGTTAAGACCATAGTGATTAGGGGAATGTTACAGAATGCGAATACCAGGGCCAGAATGGTCAGTGATTTGCTGGAGTTCCTTGTGGGTGTGCCATTCTGACAGTGATAGATTGTCTTTGTCTGGGTTTAGGATATAACTCCAAAACAGCACAAATTCAACAGAGGGTTTCAAGAATTCTGAAGCATTGGTACACCTCCCACACCCAGGGTAACAACCAGCTAACACCATCTGTGGAAGGATGCTGATCCAATATGCAATATGTGTTGCTCTGATATCATTCCTACTACTGCCTCTTAGAATCCAAGCTGCCATTCTTAATAAAACAAGTAGCAAAAAGAAATCGTCCTTTTCATTGTTATTGTTTTATGTAGTAGTGTGGTGATCTAGAGACAATACAGAATGCAACAGGAAACATCATCTCAGAAGCCTGTTCCTCAAAGTAACTGATCCTTGTAAGGAGCTGTCTGAGTGGAACTCCGACCTTACTAATGGAATATAAAGGGAATGAGGATGAGTCAGTTCAGTATGGTGGATCCTAGCTGTGAAGGTCTGAACTGGTAAAACTAAGCTACTCGCTGGAACATTTGCTATAAAAATAGTGATAGGGTAGCAAGTGGCTAGTAACATTTTTGTTTGTGGGAAAGGTATTGTAGGGAGGAGAATAATAAACACTTTTGAACTCTGTCAAAGCT